AGCCCCCGGGTCCTGAAAGCTGATCGCTGTGTTTGTTGAAAGAGCGGCTTTGTGAGGATGCCTCTGACTGCTCTTCTGAAGAGCGCTCACTGTCTGTTATGACTAAGAAAGAGTGGCCGAGTTTTCATCACCCGAGGAAGATAAAGCGCAGCCTTGAAAGGAGAGAAAATGCTTCAGTTTGAAGTTAATTCTTTTTTTGATTACAAGAGAGGCGATTGTTCTGCCTGGGCAGGCCCAGTTATTGTGTGCCGTGTGCTGGGTGTTGTATTCCTGGGGTTTTCAGATGGCTATTGTAGCGCTCTCATGCTCTCATGCTTTCAGCCTCCCGTGTATTGGATACTTTTGTTTTGTCGGTTTCAGAATAGCTTGCCTATCAGGCTTTCCTGATGCGGGTCACTCAAGGTGGGCTGCAGTGGGAGGGTAGAACGTGTGGGTAGATGTGGTTGAATTTAGTTGCGTTGTGGGCGAGCGTCTGTCCTTGTTTCAAAGCCCAGTGTGTAGGCCGCTGGCGCTGAGAGGAGAACGTAGGCAGGTTTTCACTAGTTTGCATGTGGGTAGCTATCACTGTAACGTTAGCTTTTGTGCACTCTTCCTCTTCACTGCAGAAGCTGTGTCCACAGTTTGGTCTTTACCTTCATGCGGTGCAACCAATTTGAAGAGTGAAATCCCCACCACATGGAACAAACTACTCATTAACTCCCCCGATCCTCCCCCTCCACCCTTGTCGCACCCTTTACTCGGGGGGGACTAAAGCCAGAGAGGAGGATTGAATAAGTGAAAGAGCTGCCAGGGGAGAAAAGGAGGGAAGAATGCAATGTCCCAGTCTATGAGGGATTCCATTTTTTTGGCCCTTCCACAGTAGGACAGTAAGTCACCAGTCCCTTTGTTTACCTTTGATCTCCCGGCTGAGGGATTTGGCACCTGACAGACCTCTCACTGTTTGAAAGGAGGCCTGGTGAGAGAAGGCCTGGCCGAGTGGGACACCGAGATAGAGGTCACATCCACGTTACTCCAGCATTGTTTGAAAACCCAACGTAAACCCAATATATATATATATATATATTTATAAAAAAACACCTCTGGATTTCAAAAAAGCTGAAACTAAAATCCAATACCTAGACTGGAGATAAACGCTGCCCCAGTATTTTCATTTTTTTTCTTCTGGTTCATACATTAATTTAATTAAATGAATAAAGAATTTCTAAAACTCCTCATATCAGCGGACTCTGGATCTTGCAGTAATACAACTATAAAACATGATTTTGTGAACTATCCAAATTGCTCTCAGTAAATTACAAATATTGCTTTATAGAATAAACGTAACTTTACAAAAAACCAAGATCTGCTTTGACCCAGAGAATGACAGCCACATTAATCACAAGTTGCCCATTACTATCAACACTATTGAGTAATGTGTACGTCTGTAAATACAATCTTTTTTTATATTAAATTCTTTTCTTTTTTTTCAATTGAAACATGTACTCTGGTCGTTGCCAGAGGCTGAAGGAAACTGGGCCAAACAATACAGTAGCTGTGGAAAGTTATGGGATGAAGCGGTCTAGGAAAGAAGCGGAAAAATAGGGTGAGACTTTTAAGTGAGGATTTGATGAGATCTTCTCAGAGCAGAACCGTCAAAAACTAAATACATGTGTGTTCATATGTGTGTGACTGTACTGAGGTCTGGCCTGGACGCTGATAAATCCAGAAAGTCTTAGGGGAGATTCTTCAGTAAAGCCATGGTTTCTCAGACCACCCACTACTGTGGTCTCTGCCCTTACACTGTTGCAACGCACACACACTCTCTCTCTCTCACTCACACACACACGCAGTCATCGTACTAATAAGAAACAAACTCTTTGGCTGTACTTTGATGTTTCACCTCTGTCTTTCCTGCGACAGTTCGGTTCTTCAGGGCAACGACTGCTATAAACAAAGTCATACGCTGACATCACAGTTTTCACGTTTGATTTTTTTTTTTTTAAACCACAGATCAAGACGCCAAACGCCCCCTTGTAGTAAACAGGGATTTGGTCAAAGAACTGTGGGACAGCCAGTGGGGAGTCTGAGGTCAGCCCTGGACAGCTTTAATAATTGATGAGTGCAAAACTCATCAAGTGTGCACGGTTTGAAGTAGAAGCCCGCACTTAGGCTGCGTCCCTTTAAAGAGGATCAGACTCATCGGCTGTGAAGCATGGGACTCAATTAACTCTGCCCCCAGCTCTGAGGGGAGGGGGCGTTTACCCAAACAGCTGTTTGACCCTGCTTTCAACTCTGGACCCTTTCCTGGTCAGCGCACATGTACAGACCCTTGCAGCAACTTCAACAATAACCCCACCCTCCTGGTCAGCGCACATGTACAGACCCTCGCAGCAACTTTGTGCTCCGTCACCAGGAGCGGTCACAACCTCTTCAACAATAACCCCCCGCCCAATTCTGGTGTCCTTCTGGCTGTAGTGATTGGGACTGAGACACTGAAAGACGGTTTCAGAGATAGAGAGATAACACCGAGCTCCTCCCGACTAATCTCTCTTCTTTTCTTTGGCAATTGTGTTGAAAGAAGCGTAGGCTTTGCGCACCCCTGCAGCCACAATCAAAGAGGCCCTCAGATTGGTGTTAGTGAGCGAAGCTGCGAGGATTTAGCCTCCTGATTAAGTTAAGAGGGAACGGGCCGAAGAATGGCTCAGCAGGTAGCAGCTAGTCCACCAGGTTAACGCCACGCTACGGCGGCCGCTAATCCTGCTGCTCCTGAAGAACGGCTGCAGGGCAGGGAGCCTGGTCCAAGGGAGGGATTTCCCAGAACTTTGGAGTGTTTGTGGAGTTCCTCTACTGTTTGTTCATGTCATCTTGTCACATGGTTTGTGGAATGTTTGTTTTTGTTGGAAGACGGTCTTGCTCTTCAACTGCGCTGCGTGTTCACATAAGCACCGGTTTGATCTCCAGAGCTGTGCAGACATGTGGGAGTTTGTTTGTGTGACTTCTCCGTTCTACGTAGGGATCCCTGATGTATTTACGACTGTGGCATTAAAATGACTGCCTTAAGACACCAGTAGCGGCACATGTGTACGAGACACAGGCTTCGACATTCAGTTGAATCACAGGGCGGCACATGTGTACGAGACACAGGCTTTGAGATTCAGTTGAATCACGGCTTTTCTTCTGCAGACTGAAACGTTAACTGTCTAATTTAAACTTTAAAAAAATCAAAAACACACTTTGATGGACGCACAGACAGACCGCTGTGTCTCGCTAACTCTCCGAACCTCCAAACCCTAACGTGATTTGCTCCACATTGCCAAGCACACGTTGACTGACAGCTCATTTGGTCCAATCGCTGTTGCAACAGTGCGCGCCACACCTGTAGCAGAATTGTTCCTTTGTCCTAGCCGTCTAGTTCAGCGCTCAGGGAGTGAAATCTCAACCTGTCGGGCTTCTCCTGCAATTACAGAAATGGATAGGTGAAGGAGAAACTACATGTAAGAGGAGCCCTCCAATCAAACTGTCACTCAGACGGTAGGCCAGCTCTGTCAACAGGAGTAGGAAAAGTTTTAGAGCGAGGTGTCTACGTTTGTGTTTTCAGTCCACGCAGAGTGAAAACCAGTCCTGTGAGAGTGACAAAGCTGCTGCTGTGCCAAAAGTGGTGGCATTTTGTTTGTTAAATGGTCTGAGATGCCGTAGGTTCTGGTTTCACTCCAGTTCTTCCAGGCCTTTCAGTCAGAGCATTGGTTGACTTGACGAGCTGCAGTTACCTGATCTTCTGTTTTTCTCTGAAGGAAATGGTGACTTAAACGGCCTTTCTGGAATGTTTGCTGAGTGAGGACAGGGGTGAAAGTGTCGAAGATGGGAAATGAACACAGGGAAGACAAAGAAAAGTGCCCTCAGGGCATGTTGTTGTTTTCTTGTTGCTAATTAGCGGAGATGACATGAATCTTTCTTCTCCTCTGCTGTAAAATATCAGCTCGGAGCCAAGTGCAGTAATGAGACAATCATCTCTCATCATCTAAATGTTAACGACATACTTCCGAAAAACCCGTGTGTCTGCTTCATGACCTTTTGATGTCATTTTAAAAAAAATCATATTTTGGTGCGCACAAACACAATTTGACTGTTCAAGGCTTTACAGACAGGTGTTTTTTTCCTGATCGCTCTGTGTTTTCTGCTTAATTATTTACTTGCGTCATGAATGAGAACAAACAACAGACTGTTATCATGTTTAACTTATCAGCTGAATTAAACACCTGTCTGTATTGGTTTATCTTGTCCTTACAATTACAGCACAGATGGCCGATTTTTTTTTTTTTTTGTATTATTACCATCATGTGAACACATGACTGTGAGAGTTGGCCTGTGTTCAGAGTTTGATATGGTGACACTCTGTCCTGGTTTTCTCAGGGTATTACCATAACTTACGATGACATCACTGGGCTCGGATTAAAACATGAAAATGCACGAAGAATAGCAGACAAGAAAGTAACAGTAGAATGTATCAGGTATTAGGGCGTGTCGTCACAATCTCACTTTCACTACTGGCTCTGGTCTGATGAGATTTCAGAAGTTTTGGTCGCCTTTGTTTGACATTCATTCTCTTGGGTTTATGTCTTGTATAATTTCATTGTGGCGTTTTATATATGATCAATATCAGTGGTTCTCAAACTTTTTCTACTCTGTAGCACCTGAGAAAACATTGATCTCTCTGAGTACCACCATGATGACCAACATTAGAATACAGCAGCAGAGGCCTTTACTGTCTTTAAATGTTGTATTAATTGTGCATGGTATGTTTCAGATTTATTCAACTGAAAATGTAAATGTGAAAATATGGTACACTAGAGTCGAAAATATGAATTTTCCCCGTGTACCACTACAAAGCACTTGTGTACCACTGGTGGTCAGTGTACCACAGTTTGAGAACCACTGATGTATATGACGTGTGTGTACAACTGGACAGAGTTGACCAGAGTTCTCAGTTAGTCACCTGTGCTCCTCTGTGTTCCTCCTCACAGCCTGTAAGATCGGCTACTACCGAGCTCTGGCCACCGACGGCTCCTGCTCCAAGTGTCCGCTCCACAGTTACTCGGTGAGGGAAGGCTCCACCTCCTGCGTCTGTGACAAGGGATACTTCCGCTCGGAGACAGACCCGGCGTCCATGCCCTGCACCCGTAAGTGGACCCACATGCAGCACTGGAACATACAGATGTATAAGGCAACGGTTTACATTGATTTGTAAACAGGTCCATTTTCTTTTACCACACACACACACACACACACACACACACACACACACACACAGTCTCCACTGTTTGACATGCAACCTGAAATTGCATCCTCACACGCACAGTGCAGGCTGCGGCTGGTTTAATCGGCGTCTAATAATTCCAGGTGGTACTTAGTGAGTCACGGCGACACAGAGCTAATAAGGGTATTAAACCTCCGCATCCCAGACAGAGCAGGAAGGGAACAATGGAGGCAGAGACACGGAGATTAAAAACTGAAACAGGCGGCGAGGTAAAAGAAAAAAAGGTGGGAAGAGATAGAACGCTGAAACGATTGAAGAGAATAAATAAGGGCTTCAGGTCCCAGGAAATCACTGAGGCGGGAGAAGATGCTCTGCTGTATTTCTCGCCGCCTGTGTTGACTGTGTGAGTCAAACCCTGATGAATTTGGTTCTTCCTAACCCCAGGCCCCCGTATCACCAAGACCTCCACAACAAACAGAGTCTGCAGTCCTGCAGCACAGTGACGCATCATCGGTTCTCAACGTTTGGTTCCTCTCTGGTTTAATCAGTTCTGGCAGGAATGTAGACAAAGAGGCAGAAAGAAAACTCTAATGCAGTTTTTTATCAGCAAAATTAGCAGCAACGGGACATTGACATCAGGCAGTTTAGTATGTGTTAGCATTTGTCATACAGAAATATAAATAGCTTAAACATCTGTTGGAGTGTTTAACTCCTGACTGGACCACAGTGATGGAAGGATAATACACCGGGATCGACTGTGGAATTCAGTCCAATTAAACAACGTCAATCAGTGTTTATTTGAGTTGGATTTTCTGGCTGTTATAAAATAACATAAAATAATTATTAAATAAATACAAAGTAGATTTATTATCTAATATTTTATATATATATAAGCGTAATTATTTGAAAAAATAATAATGTTTTTGAAATAAATATATTTGATTTTTTTTAATCAAATCGGCCTGCTGGCATTTCAAACATAATTTTAAAATAAAAAATAAAATAGTCTTTATATTGATTTTTTAAATTTAGTTGTACAGTCCTTGTGGCCATTCATTTTATTTTAGTTATTTGTATTTTTTTAAAAAGTAGCTAATAAATTTAAAACCCAATTTTTTTTTTTTTTCAATCTTTTTGAATTTCAGTAAACATTTTAACAATTGCTCCCTTTTCTTTTTCCCTGATAGGTCTTTTTTTTATAATTTTACTACAAATAATTCAAATAAAATGTGTAAGAAGAAATAAAACTATAATACAGTTATGGCCTATAAATATGTATCCAGTGCTGCTCTGGTACTGTCTTTATAGCTAATTATTTTTTATATGCTCTGGTTTTTAATTAAAAGTGATAAGCCCTCAGATTATTCAAATATATAAAAAGAAAATAACCAAAGTGGCCCTGGATGTTTCGGAACATCACTAATGTATTGAGTTACAACCACAGATTTAATGGAAGCGATCGGAGCTCATCCCCATTGTCCCGTTAGTCACCGTGGCATGTGAGCCACGCTGCAGCCGGCAACAGCTGTCAAAGCTCATTACTGGGCTCATTTCATTGGCCCTCGCGCTGCTGCTTTTTGACTCCGCCGCTAACTCCACTCCGAGGAAGTGAACATTAGCCGGACTCTCTCAGCAATCCTCGTCAGCTGGTCAACATTTGACCTTTCACCCTGTCCGTCGTCTGCTGTTACCCTTCTCCGTGCATTTTTCGCTGCTGCTCGCCCTCATGTGGGAGCTCTGTAATTACACCTGTCACTCATACAGGGGGTTCGTAATTCACGTTTTGTTTTCAACATCTCTCTCCGTATCTCAAAAACCAACTCTGAGTCACGAACGGAGCAAATGAAAGAGGAAACCTCGCTGTTGAAGCCATTTCCCAGTTAGACCTGCTCATTATGGCGCTGGGAAACAGCCAGAGTCTATTGTTATTGGAGAACGTGTGTGTGTGTGTGTGTAGGAAGTTGAAAAGTAAAACTAACTTATATTTCAATAGGAACATGTTCCTCCATTTCGCTGCTTGTTTTTCCTCTGTTTCTGTGGGCGTTATCAGCCAGCGTCCACAGAAACAGCTGCACGTGACTCCAGCTGTTTTTCTGCCTTACTTCCAGCACCTTGTATCGATTTGTGTGAATGGCCTGGCGCAGTAAAAGAGTTCCATCAAGTTATTTTTTTAAAAACATTACGCGTAGATTGTCTTTTCTGCCACAACCTTCTTGACAACCTCCGATGGTTTATTTTTATGTTCCTATCATGCTTTTCTATTCCCTGGCTCGTCTCCATTGTTCTCGCTGCCTGTTTCATCTTACTTCGTGGCGTTGTTACGTTCATAAACTTTGCAGCCCTGCCAAGATCGACACATCTCCCAAGACCCATAAACAAGTGTGACAGAACTGACCTTTTCGCATGAAGTCATCGGCAGACATTTTATATTACCTCCAGTATTTTGCTCATCTTATAAAAAAAAAACCTCCTCCAGTTTACAGCTTTAGCAGACTGTGGATACCGGGTCAGAATGGTTAAAACATCTAAATGTAAGTGAATAATAAAATGCATACATAAGCTAACAGAGCAGTAATGAGGACCAGCACAGACACCCACGAGACCTGCTCCCTGTGCTGTGTTCACTTTATACAGGGGAGGTTTTCTCCATTTTGGGATTTCAGCTGCCTCTTGATGTGATTGTCAGATTTTTCCTGCAGTTTCTTTCTCTACATTTGGTAGAGAGGCTAGTGGGGAAGGGTGGAGTGAGGGCTGAATGCAGCGCAGGTGAGCCGGGTTCGTGGGCTGAATGAATCCCAGCCGGATGGTAATGGCAGGGTCGACGCTCTGTCTAATTTCTGTCTGCCTGCTGCTCTGGCCCAGTGCAGCGCTCAGCTAACAATTACTAATGAAAACAGACATAAAGAAAAAGAGAGGGGGAGAGAGAGAGAGAGGGGTATGGAACTCGGACATGCAGGGAGCATACAGACAGAGCAAAAAAAAAAGGAGAATGTTAGTGGAGTAAATTGAGAAAGACCAATTAAAAGTGGGAGGAGGGGGAGTGATGGAGGTGAAGGAAAGAAAGAAAAACATCTTTCAGCAAATTGCACGGTTGTAAATGTACGGAAAGGGAGCTGAGGGGGAAAAAAAGGGGAGAAGACTGATTTTTTTTTTTCCTGGATAAAGTTTTGACGTTTGACGACGAGGAGAGTTCTAAATTTTCGGTGATGCATTGAGCTAATGGGGTATGAAAGATATCAGAGCATTGTGCTCCTGCCTCTTCCTGTGTCATTCCTTCTCCCACTCCTAGGATTAATTATGGGGTGTCAGTCACAGCCGACGGCTCTCCCACGCTCCCTTGCTCCCACTGTTCATTCCGGGCGAAAAAGCGACAGGTACAGCCAAAGGTAGTCTCTGTACGTAAGGACTGGTGGAATGTGTTAAAGACATTATAAAATCATAAAGTTTTACAGCCCTGTTCAAAGGCAACAATCACAGAAGAAAATAAAAATCTTTGTACGTCATTTATAAATACACACCGACTTGTTCCCTCTTGCGGATGGAGGATGATGTCTCGTCATTTAAGATGTCATTAGAACGTGCAAAACAAATTGCACAGCACACTGGGAATAAAAAGATTCCAGTGGCGTCTGTGTGTTTAAACTGGTCCTCAACACACCTTGCTTTTCCAACGTCTACAACCACATTTCTTCATCCTTGTTCTAAAATCCATAAATTCTCATTTTGGAAATGTCTGCACTTTACATTTCTCGGTCCCATTATTTGTAAAAACACAGCTGCGTCTGTTGTAATTTAGAAATACCCAAGGCTGTATTTTCATCTCATCCGATGAAAAACCAGGAGTCCTCCACTGGTTTGGAAAATATCTTGTTAACTTTATACACAAAAAGTAGCTACACCAAAGACCTGGAATTAGCTGCTAGGACTTCGAGATCTTCGTTAAAGAGTTTAAGGCTCCATCCTTGGATGATAACCAGGTTCCAACACCCATTCTTTATGTGAAGAATAAGGACTAATTTTCCAAAGAGACAAAAGATCATTTTAATAATAATTTGTACTTTATTGATCTCCCATTGGAGGCACCAAATATGTGGTTCCTCTGGGAATCAAACACAGGACTGTCAGGCGTGCTATCCGCTATGGAACCACCATCTTTAGCGATACTAGTCATGGAAGTGCAGCAGAATATTTGCTCAGCAGCAAAAGTTTAGATATCGACAACATCAATCCACAGACCTGTCAACCCCCCGGTGGAGGAGAGACCCAGCTCAACCTGCCTCATTAAACATCGTGAATTAACTCTTTTCGGCACCGGTGCCTGAATCTGACACCGATTCAAGAACTGTAACTCACTGGAAGTTACAGTCGCTGGAAGCTCACGAACAATTTGGCATTGGTTGGCTGGAAGATTTACATATTCACAAATCTGCAGGAGCTCCGCTGTACTCGGTCGGCTAAAGCTGCACCAACTCTGAAAGGAATGCCTGCATGACGTCAACTTAACACAGCGTCTGAAGTCTCACCACAAAGAATCTCAGTTTTGATTCTTGTGAAGAGCTGAGCTCATCATGACCACCACAGAGTTTCATTTCTTGAGCGTTGTCTCTAACATCCTCTGGATCCACAGCACACACACTGACAGAAACAGTCAAACAGGGTGTGTCGGTCCAGCCGAAGACAAACGACAGGTTCCTAACCGGACAAAACTGCAGTGGGAGTTGGTGGAACTTGCTCACTTTGCTGATGAAGCCTCTGTTCTGATGAAGACTGATTGTAGCCACCTTTTTTTAGAAACCTCATCTGTAACTTGCTTCCACCCTGTGAGAAGGGTGGGTGAGGTGGATGAGAGAGGGAGTCAGGAATAGTGGTCAGGAGGAGACGGGGGGGGAGGGGAGGGGGGTACAGCGCTGTGTCGAAATGTTAAATGAGAATGTATTAATAGGCTTTCATTGAAGGATGTGGTAGAGAAAGTTGAATGATGCTAACGTTAGCACGATTACGCAGCGTGTCATTCATGGCAGGTCGGTCCGTACGATTGGAATCGTTCTACGATTGTGTCAATTGTCGGAGAATTCTACACGTGATTAAAAACCTTACCTAACAATAATCGCTTTTGTTTCTGACTTAGCTTCTCTCGTCCAAGGACATTTTATCGAGTCAAGGTCACTGCAGTCACTTCAGTTTGGACAAGTGAGCATGTCAACAGATAAATTCTTCATTTTCTTCCTTTAAACTCTAACCCCCCCCACACACACACACGCACGTCCCATGTTCGTCCTTTACTGTTTTTGTTCAACTGCTGACTGAAGGGGTGGCGCCTGAATTCATCAGAGGATTAACAAATCCTAATTCACATTCATTGGTTTTTAAGCCAGATAATCCACTCGCGAATGCGTTTTGCGTCTAATCAGCCTATTCCAGAGTTATTACCTGTGGAATAATGGAAAGACAAAAGCGCGTGAAAATCTGCCGACGTCTCCCAGATGCACACATCTGTGATCACTCGTCCTACTGAAGGACTATCAGGGACCAGAAAAGGTGTCAGCGGGAACTGTAGTTAGAATACGGCAGCAGTTAAAGATCGAATAACGAACAAAACAGTAAGATTCGCAGCTGAGAATAAATGAATCCATGCAAAATAAATCCTAGTTTTCTGGAACTGTTCCTTTTATTTACAGTGTCTTTTCTGTCCAAAACCGTCCACAGACAGGGAATGTCTCATGAAGACGGGAAAAACGGAAGCGTGCTCACCCTTCCTTGCGTGACCGTGTGCACTCGCTGCCTCACCCTGTCCCTTCACCCCCGCTCTCTGTGAAATCACTCATTGTCACTCTGCTCCTCCAAAAATAACACTGATAATTAATTTCCGTTGTGAAATGAATCGTGTGTGGACCGAGTGGCTTTCATATTTCACCCTACATCGATCCCCCCCAGCTCGCTCGCATGCGGTTCATTAGTCAGGGAGAGAAAGAGCAACACACAGAAGGAATGCAAGAGAGATTCCAGTCAATGACTGTTTGAAGGCACTGCAAAAAAACAAAACAACAACAAAAAAAAACACATTAATTACAATAGATCTGACATGCAAAGTGGGATTGATGAGTCGGCGTCACACCTCGGCGGAGCCGCTCCCACGTATAGAACTTCAGAGTTAGGGTTTTTACATCAAAGTCCCAACGTAATAACAGGCTCCAAAGCAAACTTTCTCTAAAGTTCTTGAGTGTGTGCCATAAAGTCCTGCTGTTAGGACCAGGCTGCGGGCTCTACGCCGGCTACGGCCGATTCCACATGTGAATGGGAAAGAAATCTGCTGCCATATTGGGTTTCAGTTAACTTGCTGGATTAACTGAAGTGAAACTAGACCCTCCCTCACTGCTATGGACGGGACATTAAAACGCAATTTGAGAAGTCTCAGCCCTCGACCATGGAACGACCCACTCAATTATAGGTTCACATGTCTGTTAAATGTACGTGTGGGGGAAATGGTTTCATGGTATATATTTTGTTGGAATAACAAACAGCTTTGGTGATTACTGAAAATACTTTTAACTGTTTAATTGGTCATAACTGCTCATCGCCCAAATCACTACTTAAAGCAACGCCATTTTTTGTGTTATTTTGACCTCTTCCGTAGGTCCTCCGTCTGCGCCCGTCCACCTCATCTCCAATGTGAACGAGACCTCCGTAAACCTGGAGTGGAGCGCACCCCGGAGCTCAGGAGGTCGTCAGGACCTGACCTACAACGTGGTGTGCAAACGCTGTGGACCGGACGGCCGACGATGTCAGCCCTGCGGCAACGGCATCCACTTCAGCCCGCAGCAGCTGAGCCTGAAAGGAACCAGGGTGTCCATCAACGAGCTGCAGGCCCACACCAACTACACCTTCGAGGTGTGGGCGGTCAACGGAGTGTCACCTCAGAGCCCGGGGCCTGAGCAGGCCGTGTCAGTGACCGTCACCACCAACCAGGCGGGTGAGTCCATCAAACAGAAAACGTTGAAAAAAAAAAGGAAAGACTGTCGGTGCCCACAGAGGAAGTTATTTCCTATCACTATTAATTATATCAGACTGAGTCCTAATGAGACGCTGCAAATGACATGTTGTCATGAGCGATTTATGATTGGACTTCTCTTCACCCTGTTATTTAATGCAACAGCTCAATTATACCATAAAGAGTCTGTTGTCTGGTCTGATGCTGCTTCATTAATGCATGTTCCTCTGTGTTAATGCACTTCGTACTTTATCGAGTTTGCTCCTGCTACTTGGTCTTCTTTCCATTGATCTTATCAAATATTCATGTTATTAGTACACACTGACAGATATTATTACTCAGCCGGCTGATGCAGGCCGTCTCTGTGGCTGCGATGTTCAATTCAAATTTGAATATGAGTGAAGTTGCAAAGTGATGAGTGTTAGCTTACGTACGATGCAGGGCGCATGTTCATTAACCCCGGCTTCGAAACAGAGATGTTCTGGGGGTGTTTTTTTTTTTTTGGGGGGGGGGGAGACATCTGCGTGTCAAAGCATGTTTATCAAAGCTGTGAATAATTTGGATGACGGCGGGGCGATTACTGAGGGGCAAATGATGAATTCTCTGCATCGGGAAATCATTTTCTGCCATATTTCATTGGAGTTTTGCATAATTAGGCATGAGGAGCCCAGACTGAAGACAGGGGGCACTCTGCTATATTTAGCCCTTGAACTAATGAATTAGATGAGTTGTATTGATCTGTGGAAGCTTCATTACAAATGCTGCTGGATGGCGTGTGTTTTGTGTGCATGCGTGTAATTATGGAAGAAGAATACGGCAATGAATACTGGCCGCTCCTCCAGAGCTGGAGAAGAGCCCTCCAGCCTGGGGTGGCGTTCAAACCCTCCTGTTGTTTTGTCATTTGACCATTTTGTAGCTGGTTGTTGTGCAAATAGATTTTATTACCCCGGCCCTTTTTTCTTCATCTCTCCTCCTGCCCTCCTCTCACAGCCGATCATTACCTCGGTCTTCTTTATTGCCCTGCTCTTGGGTGGTAAGCCAAGTGCCCTTTTGTGTCTCTTTTTTCTTTATCACTAATTTCCATTCCCGGGAAGAGAATATGGTGAATAGAGCTTGGACTGGCAATTTGAGGACACAGTGACTTGATTTATCAGCGAAGGTCAGGAAGATGGAGATGAATGGAATTGCAGTCTGTGGGAGAGCGGTGAGCGCTGCCAGACAGGCATGTGTGGGAGCTGTAACGTAGCACACCCTTGAGTCAAGGCTGAGGCCTCGTAAAGTGTGTTAGAAGCCCCGTCCTACACACAGATCTCGGTATATTGCTAATAAAGGGACAGTTAAGGTTTTTGGTAGGGCGCTTGTGTGAGATCACTGAACCGTGACTTGGCCGTGGGCGCTGTCATTGATGAGAACCAGCCTGTGGACTCGTCTGCCTGCCCTCTCGGCAGACCTGACTACAGGTGGAGGATTTAAGAGAGAGGGCTTTTAGCCAAACGTCTCCTTTATTAAATTTACATTCGCATAGGGCTAAGATTTCAGGAGAAAGTTTATTCTACATAGAAAAATATGTAATTTTACTTAATGACACAGGAGTGGATGATTCATTACTCCCTCCACCAATAAAATCAACCATTTTCTTAGATGACGCTGAACACTGCCGCCTAACTGTGAGATTAAGAACTGCAAGTGCAGATTTTGATAGCAGCTAAATTTCGGGGGTATTTATAAGAGAATAGTGAGCTGTGCTGGTTAAGAGATGCTGAGGTGGAGGTGGAACAGAGGAGACTGGGAATGAGGTGGAGGTGGAACAGAGGAGACTGCTGGGATTCTCACTGGGAGTGACCAGGATGGTCAGTTAACGTATGGTGGAGCAGTTCGGAGATAAAGCTAGAGAGAGATGAGAAATCTTTTTGACATGTGCTGAGGGGAGAGTGGGTATTTTTTAACAAAGAATGTTGAAGATAGAGCTGCCAGGCAGAAGGAGAAAAGATTTATGAACGGAGTGGAAAGGAACATTGAGATGGGTTAGTGTAACGGACAAGGGTGAGAGGGAGACAAATGATCTGGGTGTCGAGACCTGAGGAGAGCAGCAAGAAGATGAAGAAGAAGAATCCATACGGACAGACCCGGGGTCCATCTAAGTTTCTGTACCTCAAACTTAAACCACAAACAAAACTATCATCCCCACATCAACCCGTCATTTCTTAATCCATAAAGATATAAAATTGCAACTCAGATAAGTAACCAAACAGAGAACAGACCCTACAGAGAAACATGGGACAGTGAGTAGACCGAAGAAACCTCTCCTGTATCTTACAACTCCAAGTCTACAGAGGCGTTAGGCAATCTCACGGTGGACCATTCTGAGGTGTGTGTGTGTGTGTGGATGTGTGTGTGTGTGTGTGTGTTTGTTTGGAAGAAACTGCCTTCTGCAAGTGAAAAAATATGTAGCACAGTATGTTTTTACTCTCATGAAAGAAGCCATTTCACCATCAAACAATGCTTCTGTTAGTCTTACTGTGTGTGTGTGTGTTTGTGTGTTTGTGTGTGTGTGTTGAAGAATAACTCCAGACTGATTGGATTTCTTACTGCTAATGCTCAGTAGGGGCTTTGGAAGCTCTGGTTACAGCCGCTGGTAATCCAGCCAGTGATCTGTGGCAGTCCCCTCATCCAGACACCGTGGATTAGCCATTTATTATGATGGATTTATTAGGATTTATTAATGCTGCGGAGAACACAGCCCCGCCACAGTTCAGGTTTCAGCTGCACAGAAACCAGTGAGGTAGGTGAGGCAGGTGGGGAGGGAGAATTATGGCGGTAATGGACGGAGTCGGAGTGAACAAATGTGGGGAGACAAAAATCAAACGTCTTGTTGATTGGCTGTGTGACCAGAGAGCATCTGTGTCCGTACGAGGAGGACAGATTCTCCATTTCACTAAAAAACAATTCCAGCCTCGTAAATCAGACGGGGTGTAACCCTTTCACCCGAGTTGGATGAAGAAATGGAAGGAAGAGCGA